TAAAACACGGAAATAACCTGAATGTGACTCTTCAATTCTACGCCGTGATGAAGCAGACCTTATAGCCAGTAGGACACTCTCCTCTAAATTATTATCTACTCTTGATACTGTATAAGCAGTTTTTTTGAGGGAATTATATTTTGCAAAATCTACTAAAATTCCAATTCACAGATTTTAATTTTGTGAATCCTACCACGTGTGCCATGTGGGTACCGTATTAAATTGATTTTCACGGATTTTGTTTTCGCAAGTCAGGAAGGAATTCGTGAAATTCGAAAAATTAAAAACCCTCGAAAAAACACTTATACGGTATGTTCTATTCCTTTTCATCCGCATATTTTAAGATTTCATAACATTTATTTTCACAATGGATTGCTTTTTTGAAAATTATTAATGCATTGAAATAAACCCGATATATGGTATTATATGTTCAAGCACTGATGCACTTTTAAATTTTAACACAAAAGTTGTCTGGGGTTTGCTTATTAATATTGTGACTAAACTAGAAAAATAATACTTCAAACTTCACAATTTTCTTACATTTTTGAGAGTTCTCCTTTAATTGGTATCATGTATTTAACTGGGACACAGCCATTATTGTCTGTATGAAGTGAATGCATGTACCACCAATCATCATTAATTTCATCATTATTAACAACTTCAAGTATTTCTCCTATAAAGAAGAAATTATTAGATTGATGCGTAAAGCTTTTGCTCATTTGAGCTATGAAATCATTCATTTAATTGTATAGATATTGTTTCTTATTGTTGACAAACATACCTTTTTTAATAGTTAAATCTTCTGGCTTTATTGCTTGGACATCACAACTAGCCACAAACACTTTTATAAGAAAAGGAGTCTAAAACAAACACAAAGATACATTGATTTACTTACATCTTTGGTTTGATGTTTGCATCCTTAATAAATGTAATACAGTAGGATCATCAGTAATTTTTTTAATAAAATACTCTGCTTTCTCATCATCATTAAAAAGACGAGGTATGAGTGACCGTATTTCCATTTTAATTGCAAACTGAAACAAGTAAAGTAATTCTACTCTTGAATATCCAATGTATGTCATTGGAACAGCACTCTTCTGTCCAGTCTCTAGTGATTGTACCTCATGCCCATTTGTACTTAACTGAAGTAATTCACCCTTTTTGAATGAAATAACTGGGTCATTATAATCATCTTGAGCTTCACAGATAGATCCATTGGGCGATAGCACTGTCTGTGTGAATTTCTCTAATTTGTGTGTTGATTGAATAAAAAGTGTTATAATAAATAAATATATTTACGGTAAGTTCGCATTTCCAGCAATTTTACACTAATAGACGATATACTTTCTTGTAGTTCTTCAATCTCTTTTGTATTGTCATGTAGTACTTCCTTTCGACCTGTTTTAAAGTACATTGTGTATATGTATTAGGACAATAGAAGCTAATCAAGCATATTCATGTACTTATTCTGATCCTTAGAGTAGATTGTAAATGTTCAGTTTCTCTTAATAACATTCGCTTTTTTGTGCTTGTAGCCTTTTCTCTTTGCATTTGTTTCACTTTAGATTTCAAACCTTTTAATTACAATAATGCAATAATACTTATAATATTATTTTGGCTATACCTGATGCCTGTATGCTACTATTGATGAATTCTAAAATTGTTAAAATTAATGATTATAAGTTAATGTAACGTCCCTACCTTGTTTCTGTTTTAAAGTTGTAAGCTGTGCTGCTTGATCATCAAGGAAACCTGCATGCATTCATTTATTGATATTAATAGTATAATAATTCATTTAATCATACTTTCTTTGTCATTTTGGTATGGATTAAGCTTCATTAATTCTCCTTGAAACATTTCAATCTCCTCTGCAGCAATCTTAATTTCCTAAATAGATATTAATGTTTTAAAACAATTTTATATCTGGCATACTTTGTTTCTGATGGTCCTATCATAGACTTTACAGTGTCCTATTTTCAATCTCATCAAAGCAAATTCTTCTTGCAGCACAGTAAGATTATCACGAGCCCTCAATTGCAAAGCATTCATTAGATGAGTAGGAGCACCACAAATGATAATGATGGAGTTCCCTTTATGCATGCTTTTGACTATGATCCTTCTGCTCAATCCTTTGAATGCTTTCTCCATTAAACGACGAATATCATTCAATAAGTGCTCAGCAGGATCCCAGTCTAGAACAAACTCAATTGTTTCACAAATGAGAAAATCACTGGTTGAAAGCTTCTTATCGAGCAAGAATTGAAGCTTAAGTTTGTGACAGAACTCATCAAGTGTTTTATTATAATCAGCTATCAATGGATTGGCTTCTGTTATGCTATAAAAGCTGACCACTTCCTTTACTGGTGCAATATTGATGACATTGCATTTGGTTTTAATAACTTTCATGACATCTTTCACTGTAGCAGCAGATGTTAGGTTAGGACCTAGCTCAGGATAGCAATCATCAAGAAATTCCATGAAATCTTCAAGTTCGATTGCTCTGATGGTGTGAGATACCAGTCGAGTAACTTTGAAATAGAAAGTTCCAAATTTTCCTCTCATTTCATCAAAATTATAACGCTCTGAAATTTGAACTCAAATTCTGTAACAAATATAATTATATAGCCATTT